TTCAGTAGGCCTAGGTACAGTGTTTAGTATAAAATAATACAGAGGTGATTTGTGGTAAGTGTTAGAGATGGAATGATAGAGCTGTTGGGGCAGGAAATTAGGAAGATGACCTGTGGTCAAATAGACAGCAAATGCAATTGTAATTTTAAGTTTAGATTGACACAAACTTGAATGATGATATCTGAAATCCTTAAGTAGATGAAGACAATTAATATCAATAAATATGAGTTTTGGCTCTCCTGTATCTTTAAATCCTGATCCTGTAGACTCCCAGATTTTCCTTGAAATGTAACTGTTGAAAAAAGGGCAATTTTGCTTAATTTATCTCATCAGCAATTTTCCTGTGCGCATTTCTTTGAAATTATTCAACTTCTACCTACTTCTGTATTTGCTTTAATTTTCATTCTGTAATCCCATCATTACAGTTTCCATATGTTTCATATCACTGTAGCATATGGATTTCTGTATTGAAGTTCTTTAATTTACTCCTTACAGTCAATGATTAAAGTGGAATTTTGTCCCACTTAGCATGAAAATTCAGTCTCTTTGGGGTGGGTTCCTTAGCCGTAGCCTCTTCTCAGATAATTCCTGGTGGTCCAAATGGTGTTCTTTCCATCATGTTTTCACTGCCCGTGTCTGTTGCTCTGTGCCACAATTTGAAGGCTCTTCCCTTTTCTGTAGATCTAGCCTGCTACGTTCATATTTCTCCACTCCAAGACCTACAAAGTGGAGTTTGTGGATCATTTCACACTTGCCTCTTTCAGGAATGGCAGGTGTACATTACCTTGGGTAACAGTTAAAGTTTCCAGCATTTGAATTGGGTGGCTCAGTGTATAAATCAACAAACATGTTTGTCTTTTTCAGTTTTCAGATGTAAGTAGTTTGAGCAAGTTAATATTTACATTTCTATTGGCACCAGGGTCAGATTCTAATCAGCACTCTAAATAAAAGGGCACATGGTCACAAAGTGAAATAACACACTTTGGGATCAATAAGATTTGTCTGTCAGACTGATCTCTTGCAGAGGAAAATGAACTTCTCTGTATTTGATAACAAGCAGATGAGTTGGCAAGCAGGGGAAACTGGCACTTCTTCAAACAGTGCTTCTGCACACACTTGTGGCTTTGCCAGAGATGGATATTGGGCTACATCAGTGGCAGCAGTCACCCAACAGTACTTTGGTGCCTTTTGTCATTGCTGACAGGAGTGGAAAACACTTTTGTGAGGCTCCGGGGTGCTGTGTGATGTGATAGTCCTAAAGCATGCAGACATCTGTAACTTCCACTAGCCTCTGCCAGTGGCAAAAGGTTTGGGAAGCAGTTCTCCTTCCAGAACTGCTGTGGAAATCAGGAAAAAGCAGCATTTGCAAGTCTTGACTCTTGTATCATGTTGAGAAGAGGCAAGCTGTTGAGCAGTTCCTTGGTAAAAGCTGATGAGATTCCCAGCCAGGTCTTGTTCCAAAGGAAGTCAGTGAGAATTTGCCTCTAACTCTGAAGTACCTTTTCCTGCTTTACAACTTCCATGTTGTTTCTTACCCATGTTTAGCATTTCAAGCTGCAATAGAAATGAAATGCCAGTAGCTTAAAGTAATTCTGTAATAATGAACTGTAGTGTGTTTATGGTGGAGAGAAGAAATTTAAATGTGATATTACATTTCTATTCCTATCTTTCAAGGACTCTCACTGGAGCTCTATAGCTGTGTTCTGAGAAAAGGGAAAAACATGACATGCAGATCTTCTGCCACAGGTGTGAAATACAGCTGAAGTTTCTTGCCAGACATGTGGAGGTTGCCTCCTATTTCAGACAAACCTGGTCTGGGTGACCCATGAACCCTCTGTGTTGAGGGAAAGTTTCATATAATTTGAATTCATAAGGAAGCTGGTGGATTGGGCTGATTTCTCCTGGAGTTCTCAAGCATGTTCAAACTCACAGGCTCATAAGTCAATGTGAATTAAAATTCTGCCCTGAAGGCCTTGAATGGCAACTTCGCTTAGAAATTAAATTGCCAGGCTTCACCATTACGCTTCTAAATCAATTCACTGCTGTTTGAAAGGAGAGTTGACTGAGCTCATGATAAGACCCTGATGCTGGCTTTTTCAGCATTAACCTTACAGCCTTAAAATACAGTGGGCTTGATACTGCAGCAACTGGGAATTACTAAGAAGTGGAAAATTAGAACTGTGTCAGCAGTTAGAGGTCTGGTTTCTGGGCACAGAAAGAAACTGCACTGGTGAGGAAGAAAAGTATCCAGCTGGCTTTTGGGATAGTGATGCTGCAAAGGAAATTTGCCCTTTATTATAGAGACTGCATGGAGCCTTGAGAGGGCTTGAGTGGTTACAGGTAGATTAGCAACAGGAGAGGGAGCTCTCACTGCGTTCCCAAAGAGGAGGGAAATTCTGGGCTTGGGAGCAGGCCTTGATGAAGAGTCCTGCGCTCCTGCTGCTCCCTGTCAATACCATGTTGGCAGCTACTCTTTCATATAGGCAAGACCAGTGGAGAATGTGCTTGCCTGAAAAAAAAGGCAACCCTTGTCCTGTTCCCACATCTCTCCAGCTGTTCTTCCCCCCCCTTTGTACCATTAACTTAAAATACCACCTGTTCTTCAGCTACTGTGAGTGTTCTCTGAGATGTCAGCTTTAGAAAGGAGGGATAGTAATGTTCCACATATATTCTCACTATCTTTTGTAGTAGGAGCAAGAACTGGTGGAGGTGAGAATGAAGAATTCCTTTCCAGTGCAAGCAGAATGAGCAAAATTGAGATATTGGTAAAGTAGTGTCATTTAACTGGTATTTTAAAGACTGGTGGCAACTAGGAAGCTTATAAACACTAAGAAATTGAGGTACGTGGGAAGGAACAGAGAAGTTTGGGGGGTTAGTAAGCTGTAGATTTCTCTAAAACCAAAATCCGCCTCCTCTTGTGTTCATTTACACTTAAATATCTCTCAAACTAATGTTTGAATGGCTTTCTGAGTGAAGGGGAATGCAATTCTCCCTATTCGTGGATGGGAAGTAGAGACACAGAGAGTAGGTTTTGCAGGGGAGAGGAGGGATTGTGTCAACACAGACATGCAATGTTAGTGGTAGGAAGCAGGCTTGCCCTGGTTCAGAAGTGGTGTCAACTCTAGGTTGTGTCCCAGAGGATATGCCCTGCACTTGGTGTATCAGTTCAGATAAAGTGCCAGCAAGATGCTTTTCTGGCTTCCAGTCCAGAACTTGTTTGCATCTGGGATGAGTGAACAGATCTCTCATCTCAGTGCACCCAGCTGTACAGATATGTTCAAGTTACTTTTTAATGTTCACAGGGTGAAAAGTGAATACATTCAGTTCTCTTTTCACCTGCATAAGTGCTGGTTCAACTGATTAGCATCTATCTATATTGGAATGGACATGGTACTGGCCTTTATGCACATGTTATTGTAAATCTTGCTGTGCCTATGATGCTAACTTGGATAACATCAAAATAATTTAGGCAAGTGCTTGGGGTTTTGCTTGGCTTTTGTTTGTTTTGAATAGGGAAGATGCTATCCCTCTTCTGCTTGAATTACTAATCAAAGGTAACCAAGTAGGTTGACTGTGGGCTCTTAAAATATTGCGTGAATTTTTCTCCAGAGGGTTTGGAGTAAAAGAAACTTTCTCTGAGAGACTGTTCTTTATATTCTCTCTAACACCAAATAAATCTTTGCTTTCAGAGTGTATGTTGGTATCTCTATACTCATGATACATTTGGCTGGGGTTTTCCTCCTTAAATTCGTTGTATCAAAGCAATAACATAAATCTAAGTTTTTATTCATCAGCTTCTCTCCAAGTTTTGTAATTTGCTAGAATTAAATTGGGAATCTGGGAATAATATATGATCATAGATACAGTGCGTATCATGCAGGCTTATTTCCAGAATGTCAGTAGAGGGTTATACTAAATACTTTTGTTTTATATGATTGCAAAGATTCTTTTGTAGCTTGGGACATTGAGTCTAAAAGCAAGAAATGTGAGAGGTATCTGGCAAGAGAAGATAACATGAATTTAATTCTAGCATTGCTGCTGTTCTTTACTATGTTCTGATTGGCCAGGAAGATCTGCAAAAAGAGTCTTGGTCACGACTGTGTGACTTTGAATACCTGTCAGGGAGAAGAGCAATCCAGGGTCACAGTGCTTTAAACACTGGCAGCTGGGTCTCAGGAGAGGCTGGATGTGTTGCAGTTACCGGAGTGGAGAAAATGTAACTTAACTGCAGTGAGACCAATACTTTTTTTCTTTCTTTTCAGCTAAACTAAGTTCAGTTTAGGTTGGTCTTTGAAGATTTATTAGACAATGGCAAACAAATGACAAGCAGGTAGTGTTTGTATAAGACGACACTGTGTGTATGATACTCCTTTCCCAAATAGTTGGAAAGCTTCAGCCCTGCATTCATGTATTAGTCATTTCAGCTATTCAGGAATGAATTGTGGATTATTAGTACACATATTTTCTTTTAGATAGGGGTCACTGCAGGACTGGGCTGAGATTTGAGTAGCTGCACACCTGATCTGCTTTTGAAGGTGCACCTGTGCTAGCTGTACAAATATACAGGCACTTGTGTATTTTTGGGCCTGAGAAATCCCTGCTTTATACCAGAGAGTTCATAATATTTGGCAGGATGTACTGACTATGCCAGTAAAGAATTATTTGTGATATATGAATATATATTATGTTTATATGTATTGTTGCAGTTTTAGCTGTTTTAGTTATGCTGTCTGAAAGATGACAAGCTTGTCATGATTTCGGCTTCTAAGAAAGATTTATTCATTTTCAAAAAATATTTTATGTGGTCACTCAGTCCAGGCTGATTCCAAGCCCGGGCACTTTAGGGGGATGTTCTGTGACTGTTCAGGAGGGTCATGCAGAGGTCAAGCATGCTTCATTCTAAGAAACTATTTTACAATGCAGAGGTCAGGCATGCTTCATGCTAAGAAACTATTTTACGCAGATTTGGGAATAATACTGTTGTTCGTGGTTCCACACAGATGGTACCAGACAGGAAGAAGTGGAAGGGGAACTCAGTGAAGAAGAACGCTGGTTTGGAAATTCTTCAGAAACTCCTTCAGAAGCATCATATGGAGAAGTCCAGGAGAACTTTAAGTTGTCTCTCGAGGACAGAATCCAAGAGCAGTCCACTTCCCCGGATACCTCTTTGGGGAGTGCAACGCCGAGCAGCAACACAGCGGAGCTGGGATCCATTGAAAATGAGGCACTAAGAGACACGTTACAGAGCAAAGAGCACCTTTCTCCTGATGTGTCATCTCTGTGTGAAGAAGAACCTCCTGGTCCAAATAAGCCACTGAGCAGTAACCTGAGGCGGCTCCTGGAGGCTGGCTCCCTCAAGCTGGATGCCGCTGTTACAGTCAATGGCAGAGTTGAGTCCCCCGTAAACCTTGGCTCGAACGTCTCCTTCTCTCCACCTGCTCATCACGCCCAGCAGCTGAGTGTTCTTGCCAGAAAGCTCGCTGAGAAACAGGAACAAAGTGACCAATACAATGCAAGCAGTCACTTTATATGGAATCAAGGTAAGTGGTTGCCAAACTCAACCACCACCTGTGGTTTGTCCCCTGATTCAGCTATCCTGAAACTGAAAGCCGCAGCCAATGCCGTTCTGCAGGACAAATCTTTTTCGAGGACTGAAGACCCTATAAGATTTGAATCCTTTTCCTCACCTTTCAGTTCTCAGTCAGCCAGCTCCACGTTAGCAGCTTTATCTAAGAAAGTGAGTGAAAGAAGCATGACTCCTGGGCAGGAGCACCCGCCTCCAGCAAGTTCTTTCCTTTCTCTGGCTTCCATGACCTCTTCAGCTGCCCTTCTCAAGGAGGTTGCTGCAAGGGCTGCAGGCACCCTCTTGGCTGAGAAGAAGAAGTCGCTGGTTCCTGAGGATCCCCTGCAGCTTTCGGAGATGAAACAAGAGAAAGCAACTCCGCCACAGTCTTTGGAATTATTGTTACTACCAGTCCCTAAGGGAAGAGCATCCAAACCCGCTAGTACAGGTATGAATACAATTTGAACCACTAAGTAGAATGTATTTGTTTTGCTATAGGCTTCTATAACATCTCTTCAATGGGTCTGGATTTGGTTTGATTCTATGTCTTATGAGAATAAGAAATAGATACTTTAGGTGAACAATAGAAAAGCTTTTTAAGATACCACTTTGAGACCAAACTGTCACAAATTTTCCCATATTTGAAAGATAGGAGTGTACAGTTCAGTACTTTTTTTCTCTTTTATTCCGTACAATAGTATTTTCTTCTCTTACCAAGTTTAGAATAAGTCCACAAAACATTTAATAGAGAAGATCAAAGAATCCCTGTTAGGGAGCTCACAGTATCAGTGAGCATGTACAAAACTAGTGCTTTTGAAATACTGGACAAGGGAGAATTCTCCCTCCTGCTGTCTCTGTCACAAATGGACTTTTGTATAATCGCTTACTACCCTGTCCTAATTTACCAGAGTATATTATTATGTTGCCACTTTTCATTAAATTTTTTTTACAACCCTTTGTTGTTAACAAGCAAACCCCAACTAAACTGCATTTCTCTAATTTGCTCAACAAGAACCATTTTACACTTCTGACTTCCCTCCACCAGTTCCAGCTGTTGACGGTCAAGGAATGAGGCTCATAGGGAAGAAGAAGAAGAAACTCTCTGGCTAACAAAAGCTTTAAAGAACTGACAAGCCATGCAGGAGAATTTAAATGATCCATCTTCAAACTAAGGAATAATAATTTTTCTTTCATCTCTTTCTATAAAAAGTTCCCATCACGGATTCATATTTCTGGTAGAACATATGACTTCAAGTCATCAGTGTTCTCCCTGGGGTGGATTTCTGCTGCAGAGGGAGAAGCGTGGCAGCCATCTTCATCAGATGCACAATGTGGTTTAGTATATTAGAGCTTTGTCAGGAATACTAGCTTGGCTGTGCAAGTGTAGCAAGGCAGTGTACAGGTATGAAGCCTGACATGGATGTTACATAATTGCACTGCCTTCTCTCTTGACCTAACCTTTTTCTTTAGGGGTATTATGAGGTCTGATCTGTCCCTGTGCAGCTCAGGTCAAAACTCGTAGGATAGAAGCTATTGGATGGACAGCAATGCTCATCCCTCCCTTGAAAGAGAAGAGGGAGGGATGCAATAAGTTGCAGCCAGAACCAGTTTTTTGCTCTGTGTTACATGTGTTCTGCAAATGCTTTGCTGGTGTGCTTTGCCAAGGCCATTAAAGTGGCAAACTATTCCTGGCATGGATCTAGCCTAAGGTTTTCATTAGTTTAGATGAAGTCCTTTTTGGACTAGCATAAGCTAAACCAGTAAAAGGTCCTTTCATGTGGGAATAGGAGTACCCGCACTGGCTACACCAGTGTGAAAGTAGTCATTAATTTAATGTAACTCTCCCCACAAAGACTGGCCTTCATATAAGAAAGGCAGCAATGTATAGAAAGGAAGTAAGGTTAAAATTTATTTGAAGCTCTTACTTTATTTCCTGCAAGGGGAAAAAGTTGTTCACATCATAAGTTTTTACTGGGGAAAAGTACATGGTTGTAGTAAAACCCAGGCTCTGTGTTTGACCAAAAAACTGGGATTTATCTGTGCACCTTGTACTAGGGGAGTGCTCTGTTACCGGTGTGCCTGTTAAGTACTGGCACTGTACAAACTAGCTCTTATGCAGCAAATTTCAAGAAACTATTCTCTTTGCTGAAGGCCCAAGCATACTGTGCTGGTAGAAGATAACAATGGGGGCTGATTGCCTCAGGTCCTTGGTAACCAAGGAACAACTGCTTATTTTTTATGATATATGGGACCAGTATCCCAAGGGGAAGGGTGTTTCCTTTCAGTTCATACACACTGGGCCAACACCAGTTGACATCCAAGAAAGCTCTAACATTTCATAACATTTCTGAAAGTTCATTTTCTGATATGAAATGTTAACTTTATTTTCAACAGTTAACTGACTGAAAATAAAAAGCAAGCTGTTGGTTAGCATATCTGGATGTTGATTATGGTAAGCCCGACTCCTCCATTCCCTCGGCCATGGAGAAGTACATCTTGTGAAAAGAGGTCACTGTTTAGTGACCTTTGGTTGAAGATTTCACTTTTGTAAAAGTTGAGTAAAGCAGCTGAATGCATATATTTGCCATGAAAATAAATGTCACGCATTCCTGATTCCTTTTGCGCGCACAACCTTATGGCACTAAACCCAAAAAATAGTATTTAATCTTATAGTGCTTTATCTTTTTGTGTCTGTCTGGTTGCTCCTTGAGACTTTTTTTTTTTATCTTGTTCCCAGAGAGAAACATCTTTCCCCAGTAGGCATAGCTTGAGTGGTCTTTTTTTTCCCCCTCTCATACTTTGAACTTCTAATGCACTGATGAGTTTGCTTTACTGTTATGAATCTGATTCACTTACCCACCAGCAACATCTAGCTTTGGTTATGAGATCAATACTCAGTGAGATTAATTAGATGTCGACAAGTAAGGAACAGCAAAGATGGAGGCTATTTAAAGAGGAATAAGTTAATAACAAGGGTATGCCTGCTGCTCTTTTGTCCACCACGTTGAGCTATTTGCTCAGAATTATTTCAGGCAAAAAGCTGGAGTCATGGCTTATCCGAGTGTAATTGCCTCTGAAATGGCATGTCAGGTTTGGTCAACCTAATCATTAAGTGCATTTTTTTTTTTTTGTAGTGAAGTGGTACAGAGAAGACTAACTTTTATATCAGTCGGTTAATGTTGCCAATTTTATAAACTGCTCACACCTTTGGGATGAAATTTAAAAAGAAGTGTGAAATCTCTATTCCGATTGTTTTTGAAGGACCGTGGGTGGCAGACCTTTATTTTACTGACTGAGTGCTTGTTTGGTGTAACTTTTTGCCTGTGGTGCTTGCAGTTTTGTTCCCGAGACTTCTTTGGGAAGCACTGGCTGATTCTCTCCTCACTGGAATAACTCTTTCCAACCAAATGGCACTGTGTGATATAAAATAGACATCAATATAAATGAAGGAAAGCTGAAGCCCATGTTTTTTTTATTCTGAGCTTTATGCAGTATAGTATAGAGCTAACGTGGTTCAGCTTTGGAGCGCATTGGCATAATTCCTGTGTAGCACTAATTGTTAGTTATCACTGGAGTCACATGCATTCATCCCAGTTCTTTGTATATTTTGTAATGTGCTAAACCACTGATCCATCTTGTTTGCCAACTTATTTTTAAGGGGGTCAGAAAGAGGTAATACCTTGTAACACATTTCTTTTCTGGATGATAACCAGAGGCTGCAGAGAAGATGTGATAGAACAAAAAGAAGTGATAGGTAAAAATGCTACCCATGAATTTTTTTCTGTGGTTTGTCTTTCTCCTGCCTTTTGTGAGGAAGTAAAGATGTTTAAAAACTGAAACACAAGTAATTATAGCATTGGTTTTGTCTTACTCTTTAGAGGTGCAGAGAGGAGAACAATTTGATATGTTAAGTACGATAGAATATTTCACAAGGAGAATTTCTGAACATGTAATAGTGCACACTGACATTGTGTCCTTTTTCTGTACTTACATAATGACTACCTAATCAGTTGAATTACAGTGGTTTTGTTTCCCACTTAATAGCAAGAATTATATTTTAGAATGTGACAGATCTTTCTGGGGGTTTTTATCACTTAGTTCCTCATCGAGGGAATTTGATGTTTGCTATATCCTTATCAGTAGAAAAAGACCCTGATAATAATGAAATTAAATAGTCTGAGGGAATTTTTGAATAGCAATATGCACATTGCTGAGCTCTGAATCTTGTCTTTTAAAGTGAGGAAAAAGGCATCCAATTCCACTGTAATAGTAGCCCTTTCTTTATAATAAAGAAGGGGAAACCATGGTGAGAAGATGGATGGATGGTTGGTTGTGCAAAGTCAGCCACGAGGAATTTCTCTTTCCTTCGAACTTATGACTAACCATATTTGCCTGATCGATGCCACCAAATCCTTTCCTTATCTTAGGTGAACTGGGCAGTAAAGTCAAGTGCAGACATTTAGGAAGGCAGATTTAAAGCCCTGGCAATTAGAGGAGCAGAAGAAAACCTACGACCCGAAGACCTTTGATGGCTGACATAGCAGCAGTATCTGCTCAAGCCATAACTAAACAATTTCAGCAGCAGGGCTTCTGAAGTCATTCACTTCTGGTGTTAAATATATCTGATATGCAATACCAGCATGCTTTTCAGTGAAGCTGTGGATTCTTCTATGCTTTATATCTTGCTTTCCTGCTGGCTGACCATCAGATATGGAAATGGATCATTTTTTAACAGTTAAGCATATTTCCCATACCCTACTACAGCCATCCTTTGATAGGAAATGAAGCTGCAAAGAGGCATTCATCTCAGTTCAGTAAAATTATAAAGAACATTAGGACCAGGTGAGGTAGAGTAGCATCCTCTACTGATTAGTGAAAGGATGTTTGGGGCATTAACCTTTATAAATTATGGTGACCTTTCTTAGAGGGATAATAACTAGATAAAGGGGAAGAGGCATGTGCGATGGGGAGGAACTGAAATTTCTGGTACCCGTTGTTGTTTAACTGATATGTCTCTTTACAGATGAAACTCTAGCATTGAAAAATGATATCTTGACTATGTTTGCAAGGGGAAAGTATTTGCCAAGTGGCTGTAAAGGATCCTCTCTTTTTCTTCCCCCTTCTGCTAAGCCTCAGAAGAGGAAGGGGGAAAACCTTTCCAGTGTCCGATCTGTGGTTTGGTTATCAAGAGGAAGAGTTACTGGAAACGGCACATGGTGATTCACACAGGTTTGAAGAGTCATCAGTGCCCACTCTGTCCATTTCGCTGTGCACGCAAGGACAATCTCAAGTCACACATGAAGGTAAGAGAAGTGTTTTCTGACAACCAAAGTACCCGAAACATCAGTCAAAAAATGATGGTATAACAAACCTATTTCATTTGCATTTACAAGAACAAAATTTCCTTAGTTGTACTATGAATGATGCCTTTATTTAAGCAAAGAGGCCATGAAAAGATAAAGAAATAACTTTTATTCCCATGCTTGCCTTTCCATTTTATGCAATGTGGAAAACTGCCTTGGGTTATGTCAACTTGGTGCAGCACAAGCTGTCTGTGACTGACTCACTTCTGGACCTGGAACCACCAGATGCAGGGGTGTTGGGTTGGGATGTGGCACGCAATCACATCAGTGCTGCTTTTTAGGATGCCAGCTAGTAACTCTGCGTGCCATTGCATCACACTAAGTGGGCAAACCAACTTGGCCAGCTCTAGGAGGGATCTCTCCATTGCTTTCTACAGACAGGCCTGCAGAATTAACTTTTTTCTTGTTGTGGATTTTAACTGTGGGCAGCTCAGCAGTGAATCATCCGAACCAAAATGAATGACAGATTATTCTGTAATGTTTTGTTTTCAAGTGTTTCCATTAAGTTTAGAGTGTGCTCTTAACTCAGCCTAAGTTTCAGGCTCGAACTGAAGATGACCTTTTGAAGGAATCTGTATCTGTGTTGATACAGAAAAATATAAAAAGGTAAAGAAACTCGGTGTCTGCTTAGCTGAAGTACTACATGGTTGCAACATAAAGAATGCCAGGTCTTGCAAGCCATATAATATGCTTGATGAAGTAAAAATGATGCCTGTCCTATTAGCCCTTCAATTAGCTGAAGTTCAAAAAAATTTCCCTTGTTAATGAAGTTGAGTTTTATAGTAATAGTAAAATGGTTTATTATAATTAGCATTTTATCTAATTATAATTAGCATTTTATCAATTTTAAACAATATTGTGTAACAGAGACTGGTGTGAAGGGGGACAGAAATGCCTGTTCGGGTTTCTTAGATGCTATTGCAGAATCTGAGCTCACTAGAGAGGAGTCTGACCTTCCTTACACTCAAGTAACTATTCACTTCAGTTTAAGTTATTCAGATTCCACTGATCACAACAGCAGATCTTGCCGTGGTTTAGGTCATTGCTGGGTCTGGAATGATCCCTCTAAAGTCTGAAGGCTCATTCCTTAACACTTTAACTGCGAATCAGTGCACTACTCCCAGGCATCCTTGGTGTATCATGCTAATCCTTTTCAAGTAGGCTTGGTGTTTATGGCTCTTTCTTTTAGGACTTGGTGTTCTGTGTTGACTAGAGGGCACAGATGGCCATCCTAAGTAGAAGATGAATGGATAGAATGGGAACACAGCATGAAAAGAAAGTGTTTTGGTTTGGGTTTTTTTTTTGTTGTTGTTGTTTTGGGTTTTTTTTATTGTTTTCAGCTGTTGACAGCCTCCACAAAAGCATGCATCACCTACAAGCTTGCTATTCCCTGCCAAAGACCTGTTGTTTTCCCCTGCTTTGTAAAGGACATCCCTATTATTCCCTGCAGAGATACAGATACTTGTTCTCTGGGTTTTTTTGCCTTTTTGGCAAAAATTGTTTGCAGATTGAGGGCCTTTCCCTTCCTTTATGGCATGGTGATTTCCACAGGTGGTCACTGGTAGGACGTTGGAGAAAATTGGGGACTTTTTCACTGTCTCTGTGTGCTCTCAGATTGGTGGCTCTCTGAGGCCTTTGTGCTCCTTTCTGCTCCCCTCCCAACATTAATCCTTTCATTAACTGAGCCTGCATCAGCTTAAAACAGACCTCATTGTACAGCCATGTAACATGTAGTGTTAATTATTTGGTAATACGGAAATTATGACCAAGTAGTGCTCAGTTAGAAAACACTGAGGTCAGAGTCAGGACCAGAGCTGCTTGACTCAATGTAAGAGATTACAGCCTCCTTCAGCCTTACTGTGAAGGCAGTATCTGAAGTCTCCTCAGTCAATGCAGTCCAGTCATGCAGGTCATGATGGAGTTGGGGGTCTTTTCTGGTAAAACTGCTCCCTATTTGAGATGAAAGTAATTGTCTTTAAAAACTATGTGGTCTGCATTTTCATTTTGTCCTTGTTATAGTCTCATGGATAGATGTAAAGAATCACAAGGACAACAGTCTGAAAGTTTATGTTTCACCTCAGTGTCAATCAGTTTCATACACACTTTCTCAATTGACTAGGCCATTTGTAAAAATATTTTCTATCACATCAAAATTGAAGCAGGTGAATGAGGTAAGGGTGTGTTAGTCATGTGTCCAAAAGTGCCAGACATAATTTGAGGTTTCTTTGGTGGAAGTATAAATAATTGATAACCAAATTAAAAATAAAAAGTACCAGATTTCTTTTCTCATTATAAAACAGTGCTCCTTTTGAATCTGTGTGTATATGAGATGATAATACCTGGCACATATATAAGCCAACAGCGTTCAAAATGGAATGAATACACATCAGAAATGGTACAGCACAGCTGGGAGCTACTTAGGATGCAGCGTTCTGGTTATGCCAGTAGGTTGTTTCGGTTGTCTTCATTGTCTTACTATCCTTTGGGAACCACCTGGCCTATCTCCTTCCTGGCAGGCAACTTGTGAAGGCAGAGCTGCTTCCAGCTCTCCAGCCCTGTCTCCCTCCCCATGAGGCAACTGTGGCTACAAGTGAAGACGCATTTTTCAAAACTAAAAATGCTACTCAAAATTAAGGTACTGGGTTGGTGTTTGTTGTTCATTGTAAGCCAATTTTTTTATTCCAGAATGCTATCACAAATCAAGCTTTTTTCCTTTAGTGCTGCTCTTCAGTTTTCAGGTTTTATGCTCAATTGATAAAGGATGACAGGCAAAACCTGTTGAGGTGTTCTGTTCAACTGCAGTCCTCAAAATAAATCTAGTTGTCCTATCTATCTTTCTTTCTTCCTAGGCAGCATAGGCAAGAGTTTGAACCACCTCATCTTTTTTCTAGGTTCTTCTTAGGTATTCTCCTTGCAACTGATTATTCAGTGATTTAATTTCCATGAGTGGTTTGTGCGAGTCCATATGGGCCTTCCTTACTGTCTGTATCTGTAGGTTAATGACAGTAGCTACATAATATAAATACTGTGTAATTTCATGGTAATTATAACATGTCTAACTGACTGACCCAGAATACAACGTTGCCAATGTTTTTGGTGTCTTGTCACCTGCTATAGAGAAAATCTTAATAGAGAGCTGGAATGGTTCCAGCCCTGACCCATATTCGGATCTACAAGTGCTACCCACCACGCTGATGGAGCATTCTTCCAGCAGGGGCTCTTTGCCAGGACCAACTCACAACTGGAGGCGAGGAAGTGAAAGGCGCAAGAAGGGAAACAGAAGGAAGGTTTCCACACAGACACACGAGGAACAAGGGTGGCTGAGTGGCCTGCCTTTTAAGGCACGCAGTGTTATCTGTAATTGTCATATTGTGTTTAGATTCCACTGTGATAGGCACCTTAGAAAAATCCTAAAATAGACACAGTACAGAATTTTATTAGTCTGTTTTGGAGGCAAATTATAGTGCACGCATAACCACAAGTTCTGGCCCTTATTCCCAGGAATATGAGGGGAGCATCTAGGGACCCGATTCTGGTATCATAGTGTGGTTTCCAGGGATTCTAAGAATACTGAGCTGAAAATGAAGCTGGAAAAAATGAATGGGTAACTCAGAGAGGTGTCTTGTCCAAGCAGGCCACAAGTATTGTACTTGAGTTCTTCTCTCTGTTTATCTAAATATATATTCAGTTGGAATATGTTTTCTTCTTGAGAGAGTGAGTATCTTATGGACTTTTTCTGCAGAAAGCAGTGGAAAGTTGTGATGTAGTTCAGCAAGATGTGTTCAGGCTTTTCTGTTTTTCCTGGTAGGGATTAAATTTACCTCAGAGCAATACCACAAGCATCAGTCAGACTTTGGCCAGTTTGTGTCTTTGGATCATGCACATATCTTCCTCAGCAATTGGTGGACAGATAGGCTGTGAGATCATACAGATATGTTCCAAGAAAGCAACAGGATATTAGCCTGAGCACTTGGAAGGGGGAATGAGGAAGAGGAGCATATGGCCAAAACCAATATCTATAAATGTTCCTTGTGCTGCTATATAGACCCAAGGCAGAAATGGGTGAGCTAGCCCTTCTAGCAGAAGAAAAGAAGTTTAGCATTGTGAACACATGCTGAAGCATGATGGTATGACAGCAAACGAGGAAAGAGAAGATGAAACTTAGCAGAAAAGTTAGATGCAGTGGTAGGCAGGTCATGTGATGCTCAACCACAGGATTTTCCTGCATTTGTTGCTTATGAAGAGGGACCATGTGGTGAGGTCTCAGATTGATGCTCCTGTGTAATATGAAGAGGGTTATAATCAGCTTCTCAGTTAGGGAGAGGCTACATGACAGTGGGAATCAGGAAAGGCCCTGAAGAATGTAGCCAGGTGCTCACTGCCCCTTCGTGATTTGTAGGTGCTCACTGCCCCTTTTCCCCTTTTTGTTCCTCAGCTAGTGTCAGACAACTGAATAAGCATTCCTAATCCATTTTTGTGAAGTATAGGACAAGTTATTTTAAAGCATCTTCACCATATTGGGAGAGGAATTTGACTGTGTTTTATGAGTGCTTTTTTAGTTTGATTTAAGTTATACTTAAAGAGCCCTGGGAGCCACCTGTGATTCCATCAGCTGAGGGGAGGCAATACAAACTTGCACAGCTTTTCAACATGTTAAATCTTTGCCCAGAGTCTCAGACAGGTGCCAAAAGTGACTTCAAGTATTTCCTTTTTAATCTTGTTACTTTTTGCATACGAGAAAAGGATAAGACAGGATATGCATTGATATCTTAAATCTCTAAGGAAAAAAAATACTGTTTTTTGAACACCTAGTCCAGTCTAGCACTGCAGAGAGGCTTTTTTTCCCCTCCCCTTTGCTTTCAAGCGAAGCAAAGAAGTAGTTTCAAAAAGAAAATACTGTATAAATAACGTATGTGTCCTGAGGGGAAGGATCATATCAA